AACTTCTGTAGTAGAATACCTGTGAGTTTCAGCGGTGCAGTCTTCTTCAGGTATCCTGGGGTTCACGGCTTCTACCTATTCATCTGGTGTTTCAATGTTCGCTAGAATTTTTGATCCCTTATTTTCATATATGCTGTGGTGCTGTTGGCTGTTTACTCTGTTCCTCCATCTGGCTAGGTTTTCCTCCCATGTGTAGGGGGAAGTGGAATCTGCTCCCTCCTATCATGTTGCCATCTTCCTTCTCCCTCATGTACTCTTTACAGCAACTCTGTACAATGACTATTGTAGTCCATTTTTTATACCTAAGGAAACTGTGGCTCAGTTATAATACATGGTGGGACCAAAAAAAAGAGAATTTATTAAGACAAACTGTATATTTCTTTTTACATGTTTCAACTTTAGTCACATTCAAAGTACTCTCCACCTGATGCTATACACCTATCAAGACATTTTTTCCACTGCTCAAAACAAATTTTGAACTTGCTGATTTTAATGCCTTTTAGTGCTTCTGCCATTTTTTGTTTCACCTCTTTCACATCAGCAAAATATTTGCCTTTGAGCAATTTTTCATCCAGAGAAACAAACAAACAAAAAGTCACTCAGGGCAAGATTAGGTGAATAGAGAGGGTGAGGTAGGGGGAGGTTTATGCAATTTTTGGTCAAAAACTGCTAAATACTTACTGTGGTATGGGCAAATGTGATCCTAAACACCCATCATAAAATGGACAAACACACTGAAAGAGTAAAAAAAAAATCATTGAATCCAAACACCACCTCTCATAACAATACCAGGTGGTACACTGATACAGATGGGTTCCCAGAACACTCACCTAGCAGGGGAAGCCTGTACTACAAGGGGCCCACCTGTAGAAGATAAGTTTGTTTTTTTTTTTTGGATCCCCCATTATAAATTACTCAATACAGTAAGTTGTGCAACCAGTAAGTACTAAAGCAGGATTGTGATTCAGATTTCTGTACTCCAAAATTCCTTTTTCTTCACAAACACTACTGCTTCCCAAGTCTTCACATTTCTCCCTTTACTAAGTGTGCACATTAAAAATTAAATAAGCAACTTTGTTCTGTTTATGCTGAAAATTGTATAAAAGTAAAACAGAGGAAAAAAACAAAATTTAAACTTTATTTTTCTGCCAGAGTAAGAGATAAATATGATCTCACATACCATTCAGATTTCAAATTAAATACAACAGTTGATATGGCGCAATGAGTAAAAAAAAAAGAGAGAGAGAGAATCAAAAGACATGCAGATAGAGTACCAAGAAAACTTACAAAATACCAGCAAAAATTAATTCTGCAGATGAGAGGCTCACCCTGAAAGACCAGAGTGCCTACTTACAACAGATATAGGAACCAGCGCTAGCAGGACTGTTGGCAGGAAGTTTAACATAAAACTGTTAGTGAGGCCATGGGGACAGCGTTGTTCTCATATATTGCTGGCAGGAGTACAAACTGAAGATAATGTTTAAAATGTATCAAAAATCCAAATAAAATATCATTTGATCCAATAGTGTCACTTCTGGTTCATTTATGTGTAGTATGAAGGTACACATAAATGAACCACAAAAATCTACGTATATAAAGAATGATTTTTACATTGCAATAGCAATAAATTAGAAATCCAAGTATCCATCTGCTGACTATCACTTAATGTAAGTATGGTACTTATCCATATTATGAAACTTTAAAAAGAGATAAGGAATCCCCCCATAAACTACAGAGTGTGGTGAAGTAGAATTATATTTGAAAAACTGTAAACCTACTTTTGCAATACCTTGTATATTAAGTCTCTCATGTTACATTATTAAGGGGAAAATAGTATGTGTAACAATTGCTCCAAAGAGAGTAAAATACTTTGGTATAAATCTAACAAAACATACAAAATCCATGTACTAAATTATAAAATGCTGGTGACAGGTAGAAGACCTAATTAATTTAAGAGACATGACATGTTTATGCATTGGAGATTCTACATAGGAAAGTCCAATTCTCCCCACACTGATCTATAGATTTAATACAATCCTCATCAAAATCCCACTGTTTTCTGTAGACACAGACAAGCTTATTCTAAAGTTTATGTGCAAAAGCAAAACTATAGCTATTTTGCTTTTTTTAATTATTTTATTATTGTTCTATTACAGTTGTCTCAATTTTTCCCTGTTGCTCCCCCCGGCTCAGCCTAACCTCAACCTCACTCCCATAGTCAACACCCACCCTGTTGTCCATGTCCATGGGTTGCTCATACATGTCCTTTGACCAGTCCCTTCCCCTTATTTCCACCTGTATCCCCCTCTCCCTCCCCTCTGTTCACTGTCAGTATGTTCCGTGTCTCCATGCTTCTGGTTCCATTTTGCTCATTAGTTTATTTTGTTCATTAGGTTCCTCTTATAGGTGAAATCACATGGTATTCATCTTTCACCAACAGGCTTATTTCAATTAGCATAATATTCTCCAGTTCATCCATGCTGTCATGAAAGTTAGGAGTTCCTTCTTTCTGGTGCATAGTATTCCATTATATAAATGTACCACAGTTTTTTGATCCACTTATTTACTAATGAGTACTCAGGATGTTTTCAGACTTGGTTATTGTAAATAACACTGCTATAAACACAAGGATTCATAGGTTCTTTTGAATTGGTGTTTTGGCAGTCTTAGGGTATAATCCCAGCAGTTGAATTGCTGGGTCAAAAAAGCAGTTCCATTTTTAACTTCTTGAGGAAATTCCATACTGTTTTCCACAGTGGCTGCACTGAACTTCATTCCCACCAATAGTGAGCTATGGTCCCCCTTTCTCCACCACCTTGCCAGCACTTATTGTTTGTTGATTGAATATTTTTTGTTGATTTGTTCATTTTGTTTATGTGGTGTATTATGTTTATTGATTTGTGAACATTGTACCTTCCTTACATTTCTGGGATGAATCTCACATATTCATTGTGCATTTTCTTTTTAATGTTCTGCTGGATCCAGATTGCCAATATTTTATTTAGGATTTTAGCATCTATGTTCATCAGAGATATTGGACTATAATTTTCTTTCCTTGTGTGTCTTTACCTGGTTTTGGAACTAGGAAAATACTGGCCTCATAAAAACAGTTTGGGAGTGCTCCCTTCTTCTTGAATTTATTGGAATAGTTTGAGAAATATAGGAGTTAGTTCTTCTTTAAATGTTTGGTATAATTCTCCTGTGAAACCATCTGGTCCAGGGTTTTTGTGTGCTGAAGTTCTTTGATTACTGCTTCAATTTAACTAGCTGTTATTGGACTATTCAGTTTTTCTGCTTCTTCTTGATCCAGTTTTATAAGATTATATATTTTTAGAGATTTGTACATTTTGCCCATGTTTTCCAATTTCTTGGCATACAGTTTGTAGTAATTTCTTACAATCTTTTGTATTTCTGTGGTAACTTCTTTTTCATTTTGAATTTTATTTATTTTGGTTCTCTCTTTTTTTTTTCTTGATGAGTCTTGTTAAAGGCTTGTCCATTTTATTTATCTTTTCAAGGTACCAGCTCCTAGTTAGTAATCCTTCGAATTGTTTTTTTTTTAGTCTCTATGTCATTTAATTCTGCCTTGATCTTGATTTTTTTTCTTTCCTTCTACTCACTCTGAGCTTTGTTTGTTGTTGTTCCTCTACTTTTTTTAGAGTAGGGTTAGGTTGTTTATTTGAGATTTTTCTATCTTCTTTAGGTAAGTCTGTATTGCTATGAACTTCCCTCTCGGGACTGCCTTCACTGTGTTGCATATGTTTTGGACTGTTTTGTGTTCATTTTCATTTGCTTCCAGAATCTTTTTTATTTCTTTTTTTAATTTATTTTTTATTGATTATGCTGTTACAGTTGTTCCCATTCATTATTTAATAACATATTATTCAGTTTCCATGAGTTTGAATGTTTTTGAGTTTTTCCCTTGAGGTTGGTTTCTAGGTTTAAGCCATTGTGATCTTAACTCATGCTTGATATGATTTCAATTTTTCTGAATTTGCTGAGACTTGTTTTGTGTCCTACCATGTGGTCTATCTTCAAAAATATTCCATGTGCATTTGAAAAGAATGTATATTCTGCTTGTTTGGGATGAAAGGTTCTGTATATATCAATTAAGTTCATTTGATCTACAGTGCTGTTCAATGCCATAATATCCTTTTTGATACTTTGCTTGGAACATTTACCCACTGTTGACAATGGGGTGTTAAATTCCCCTATGATGAATATGTTGCTGTCAATATCTTTCTTGATGTCCTCCAAATTTTTCCTTATATATTTGGGTGCTCCTATATTGAGTGTATACATGTTTACAAGTCGTATATCTTTCTAATGGATTACTACCTTAAGTATTATATAGTGTCCTTCCTTGTATCTTTTTATGGCCTTTGTTTTGAATTTTTTAAAAAAAATATTTATTTATTTATTTATTTATTTATTTATCTTTAGAGGGGAAGGGAAGGAGAGAGGGAGAGAAACATTAATGCATGGTTGCCTCTAGTGCATCCCCTGCTGGGAACTGGCCTGCAGGGAACTGGCTTGCAACCCAAGCATGTGCCCTGACTGGGCATTAAACCATGATCCTCTGGTTCACAGACCTGCACTCAATCCACTGAGCTATACCAGCCAGGGCTGTTTTGAATTTTATTTTGTTTGATATAAGTATTGCTACCCCAGCTTTTTTTTCATGTCAGTTACTTGGAATTTTTTTCCCTTCTTTCACTTTCAGTCTGTAAGATCTTTTGTCCTGAGGTGGGTCTCTCGTAGGCAGCATATATGCAGGTCATGTTTTCCTATCCACTCAGCTACCCTATGTCTTTTGATTAGACAATTTAATCCATTCACATGTAAGGTTATCATCGGTAGGTACTTATTCATTGCCATTTTTTTCTTTGTATCTGTGTTCCTCTATCTCTCTCTTTTTCTTCATCTTCTTAAAGCAGTCCCTTTAGCATCTCTTGCAATGCTGGTTTGGTGGAGATATACTCTTTTAGCTCTTTTTTGTCTAAAAATAGGAACAGTCCACAAATTTGTGTGTCATCCCTGCACAGGGGCCATGCTAATCTTCTCTGTATTGTTCCAATTTCAGTGTATGTGCTGACGAAGCGAGCACTATTTTGCTATTTTGAATAGCAATACAATTTTGATAGAGGAAAATAAATGTAAAGAATTACTATACTCAAAGTTAAGGTTTACTATAAAGTTAGAGTACTATAAAGCTAAGCATACAAGCAGCAGTATTGGCAGAGAGATCAACACATATCAAAGAACAAAATAAGAAACCCAGAAACCACCCCATACCATTAATAGCCAAGTGATTTTTGATAAAGGGATGCAAGTGATTCAATAGAGGAAGGATTGTCTTTCAACAAATGGTGCTTGAGCAACTGGACATCCACAGGCAAGAAAAACCCCCCACAAAACCAAAAAACTGAACTTCAACATGAAGCTCACACTTTAATCAAAAATTAACTCAAATTGGATCATAGATTTAAATATAACACACAAAACTAACACTTTCAGGAGAAAATAATGAAAGAAAATATTCAGGACCTACAAATAAAAAAGTGTTTAGACTTGACACCAAAAACACAAACCAAAAAAGAAAAAAATGGCAAATTAGATCTCATCAAAATTAAAAACTTTCGCTCTGTGAAAATGTATATGAAATTCATACCAAGACCAGCAACAGGAGAAAATATTTGTACTCTGCATATCATACAAATACCTTATATTTAGAATATGTAAGGAATTCTTAATATTCAACAGTAAAACCCACAAAATCAAGAATCCAATTATTAAATGAGCAAAGACATAAAAAGATATATCACCAGAGGTAACATTCAAATAGCCAATAACCACATGCTTACATCACTAGCCATTAGGGAAATTCAAATTGAATCCACAGTGAGATGTTACTATGCAACTATCAGAATAACTAACAGATAGAGGGGTAACACCAAATGCTAGCACTCATGCATTGGGGAAGTAAAATAATACATTCATTCTAGAAAATAGTTTGGCAGTTTCCCATAAACCTAAACATGCACACTCCCTATCACCTAGCAATTTTACTCTCAGGTATTATCCAGAGAAATGAAAACTTATCTTAGGACTAGGCTCTGTACACAAATATTTTTAACAGTTTTATTTGCAAGAGCCAAAACTTGAAAGCAACTCAAATGTCCTTCAATAGGTAAATGGTTAAACAAAGGATGATACATACTTACTGTGCAGTACTACGCAGCAAGGGAAAGGAACTAACTATTGATCCATGTAGCAGCTTGGATGGATCTCAAGCGGAATATGCTGAGTGAAAAAGCCAATCTCAAAAGGTACAGACTATAAAATTTCATATATATAACATTTTTGAAATAAAATGTTTGAGATGGAGAACAGATCAGTGGTTCTCCAATTTCACTAATTTTATACAAGCACATGTAGAAGTGGTTTAAATGTGAACATGCTCTATGGACTGCACCCAGTGAGTGTGCTGGATTGGGCACAGTGCTGTGTGCCATGTGGCATGTTACCCACAGGAAAATGGGGTGGGGGATAGGGACCTCCCTATACCATTTTTCCCTTTTCTGTGCATTTATAGTTCTTTCCAAATAAAGCTTTTAAAAACTGGATAACACTATGTGTGCAACACAGTATTGTTGTGTGGGAGATGGGGAGGCAGAGAAAATAACATCTACATTCAGTATTGCTTATGTGCGCAGCATTATGCCTGCACAAAGGAACTCCGAGGGGACATTAATAACCGTGGTTACCTGACTGTGTGTCAGCAGGGAACTGCGGCACGTGGGAGACAGGTGTAGGAAAAATACCATTAAAAAACATTTTGAACCATTGTAACCTATTTTTTCATTTTAAAAATTAAATCATTATTACTCTGCACATATAATGACCATGCATTATCTCTATCATTCATAAATAGATATTTAACACCAAACAAAGTAAAATGACATAACCTTGGATTTAAGGCTGCTATTCAAATTTAATTAGGGCTACCTTAAAAAAATTTTACATCATCATTGTTATATCTCTTATTTTCTGTGAATTTAAGGAAATTTGACAATTGGTAAGTGATCGACTTGAAAATGGTGCTCATAAAACACTGCATTTGCTCACACCAATTTTACCCAGAGGCCAACGTGAACCTGTCAGTTTTAAATCTGCAGTCCTGGGGTTTCAGCAAATGCAAAGCATTGTTCTTTTGGACTTTAGGAAAAATAAACCCTAAAGGGATCCTTTAAATAACCTCTACACATTGGAATAAAAATGTGCCTTTCTGTTCTTTGTGCTTCTTGAGAAAGAGAAGTGTGGTGCTATTTGTACATTTCCCCTCCCCTCAAAAAAAAATAACCAAAAAAAAAACTGAGAACAAGAAAAATGCACATGCCAAAACTCAAAAGACTTCTTGAAGATAATCAAGAGCAAATGAGGGGCCTCAATACAGAAATGCACAGGCAACATTTAACCACAATTTAATGCCGCATACAAAAGTATAATTCCAGCTACCTCAGATACTAATGAAAATCAATAAATGTCAATGTGTGCGGTGCTGCTATAATGGAAAATCTGCATTTTTATTTATCTGCTAGAACGGAGAAAAGAGAAAGATGGTGACTTGGGCCAATAAAATATTAGAGATGCTCTGAGGTTATCCACATTCAAAACTGCAATATTCTGCTAAGTTAAAGAGCCATTTTCTATGCATCTAAATGTTATCTATCAAAGTTTATTTTAATAGAAGCTGTCTCTACATTTACTTTTCTCATTGGTTCTTTAATTATATCTACAAAGCAGTGACCAGTTCAGCCAATATTTACAGGAGAAAGACACAGGTTTCAAGGAACTATGAAAGCAAATTAAAAAGCTCTAAATTAAATGATATTTTTAAGTACACATGGGAATACACAATTGTGTTAGCAACTCCACAGCCCGGCATTATTAAGGAAAGTCAAATGTCTTGAATTTCAATGAAATCAGCCCCGTGCTGCCAAGCAGATGTGCAGGAAGGGTGCTCTGAAGTGGAAACATGTCTGGGAGCCTGTTCCTTTTGCTTCCATTGAGACCATTGTCATTACCAACGTGCCTTCCAAGTTGCAAGACATTCACAGCAGTAATTCATAGTGACCTGTGAGCCCCAGCCACTCTCTCCATCGACCACACCCGCACCCCCTCAGGTGTCGAATGCCCCTTTGTTAGAGAGTTCTCCCTTGACACTGCTCACTGAAGGAGCATGCACTGTGTCCCGTTCACAGTTTCTTCACAGCGCCCATCACCATTGCCTGCTTCGTATTTACTTGGTTATTGTCCTCAGGAATGTCAGCTCTCTGAGCACAGGGATCAGACAGTTTGGTTCACTTCTGCACATCCAGAATCTGAGTGGCGGGGTGGGGGGAGTGACACAAGAAATCCTCCTATTTAAACCTCACAGTGCTTCTGTGGGTAGGAGGATGCTAATCAGTCTAATCAGTGGGAAAGTGTGGAACTCAAATCCATGTCTCTCAGCTCTAAATTCCATGTTTTTTTCCCAGCATATCACACAGCGTCTCACTTTGATAATGTTAGTTTAAATCTAGAAGTGTTTATCAAATCTTTATGGCAATGGAACATTGTGAAGGCTAACTATCTACTAAACAGAGTGCATATTTTTATTGATTTGTTATATAATTTCTCCATGTGCACAAGGAAGAGCCCTTTTTCAGAAAGATATCACAATATATAAGCATTTGTATAATCAGAAAAAATATGGAAACAACCAAAAAAAACTTGACACTCCTCAGGATAACCCTAGATTACAAGACATTGATAACGTTATGAAGTTAGCCACAGTCACATAACAATTTAGCGAACATTTACTGATTATCTTTTGTTGATCAGACTCAATGCTAAGACCATGTCATCTCAAAAAGAACTAACAGATGGTCCACACCATTAAAAGAGTTAAATCCACTTAAAGATACAAAATATAAACATAATTTCAATATAATGGAATTAGAGGCCACTATAAATTGCCGTGAGAGCAAAAGGAAGTAGTAATGGGTTCTGCCTGGGAGGATGCAGCACAGGAGTCACAGTTTGAGGTGCATCTCAGGAGGGCAGCAGGCCTTCTGGGTGCAATAGCAACTGAGGGAGCAGCACATAGACAGAGCTGGGAAAGGGCACACGAACATGCATCCGGGACGTTTCTTGTGCCTGGGCATCGGGTGCACTAGGAGGAACAGCTGGAGATGCTGCTTTCAATGAGCATCGCAGTGCTACCTAAATGTTGTTGAGCAGGTTCAACGAGATAACACACATAAAGTTGTCATCTTAGTGCCTCATAAAATGGGGAATAAATGCTGGCATTTGTCTCAGAATGGAGGATTTAAGATTTGTATATATCCATTATTCCAAAAGAAGAAAAGTGTCTCCCGGTACCCAAATAAATCAACTGTTTATCAAATAAAATTGTTTATCTGAGTATACACGTCGCAGCAGTGAGTGGAATGTGATTTTACAGAACTATATTCAAAACCAGAGACACCAGGCAGCAATCTCATCTGATGTTTTCAGTGAGAACCAATATACATGACAGAAAGCTGAAGAAGTAAAGGAGCAATCCTGTATTTAATTAGAACCAGCCATGACACAAACTTCACATCCTTAGATAGCAAGTTGATTTTGCAGAGAAGGTTTGAGTTTGGTTTCTATTTCCATTATTCATGACCTCAATCCTTAAGGAAATGACAAGGTAATTGAATTCTCCAACACTCGTTTCGTAGTGTCAATGATAAATGGTCAGAAATATTGCTGCTTCGGACCCACTGAGGTTCTTACTGGTCCTTGCTGTTTCTACCCCTGACTTGCGTCTCCTTTTCCCCACTCAGCCTCAAGAAATTACTTGATATTGGAGCGATAAAGCCTGTCATGGTAAAAGTAATCTTCTGTCACAATCTTTCCCTTTTTTTCCTTGTCTGATATTTCCCCCTAAAAAATCTTTAGTTGGATCCTTTCATGGCAACTTCGTACTTCTGCCAACACTAATTGATTCCATTGTTTGTACCAGTCAGCACAAGAATATGGTAATTTTCCTTTTCTTTGCATCTTACAATCACCTAA